AAGCAAATATAGTACCTAGTATAATTCCCAAAATGTTGAATCCAATTGGTGGTCCTAATTTCCAGTCTTTGGTGAAGTAGTATAAATAAAAAATCGCTACAATGAATTCAACAACTAACATTTCAACAAACTTACAAAAAGTCATATGTTCATTGGCAAAATTTTGGAACCCATACACATAATTAAGGGGGAATGATGCCTGTTTGGTTTCTTGTTCTCGTTGTAATTGAATTTGTTTGGCTAATCGGGCTTTTTCTTCCTTTGTCATGGGTTTCAATTCTTCTTCTTCGGGATTTTCGATTCTTTCCGGATCAGTAAGCACCAGGGCAGTCGACCTGGGTTGAGCCTGCTCTTTCCTATGGGTTTTGCTGGCCATATTCGTTGAAGATTCTTGTTTTTTCATTTTCGTTCAACTGCGCATTTAAGTACTGGATGCGAAATATAATCTACTCCATCTGCTTAATCTACTCAATATGCTCAATCTATTCAATTCACTCAATCTATGATCAATCCACTCATTATGTTCAGTGAAAAGTTAGAATACCAACAGCACTATGTCTTAGCTCGAGTACCTGCTAAGAAAGAATATCTGTATGTAGTATTCGAAGGTAGTATTCGAAGGCAGTATTCGAAGGTAGTATTCGAAGGTAGTATTCGACTGTAGTATTCGACTGTAGTATTCGACTGTAGTATTCGACTGTAGTATTCAAGCACAGATACAAGTATGGCTATTTGAACATGTATCTGACTGTTGGTTCAAGAATAACTCAATGTCTCAATTTAAAATTACACCAGTACCTACTTCAATTAAACAGTAATTAGGTGGAGTAATTAGGTAGTAATTGCCATGGAGTCCGTAGGGAGATGTAAGTAGTAGATGGCAGTAGCAAGTAGTAGATGGTGGGACTTGACTAGGCTGGCTTGATTGGCGTGATTGACGTGGTTGGCTTGATTGACTAATCTGGTGTGAATTCCAGACCAATCAATTTAAGTTACGATGAGATCTTAAGGAATTCCGTACCAAACCATGG